CTCACTAAGTTGCTGAGGCTGGCCTCAAACTTGTGGTCCTCCTGCCTTAGTCTCCCGAGTCACTGGAATTGTAGGCGTGTGCCAATACACCAGGCTCAACATTTTTAAATGTTTTAGAAATAAAAATACTATTTTTAAAAATGTAGATGGTTCCTGTGGAGTTTCTGCCTACCTGACACACCCCCCCAACTTTCTTCATTTTTGTTTGGACTGTCTGATAAGGCTGACCCCAGTACCCCCGCTTCTGGGCAGGCCAGAGAATTAAGTCTGGCCAGAAGACTGCACACCCGTCCGCGGAGCACAGGCTGGTGCTGGGCCAGGCCGACGGGCGCATTCCCGGGTCTGTGCTGGAACTCGGCACTCTTCTCTCCTGAGTGTGCTGACCCAGTGGGTGGAGGCTGCTGCGGTCACCCTGATGGCTCTCAAGGGCTGCTCTGGGAACAGCGCCTGCTTTAGTCCAGCTTCTCTAAGTGTCTGAGCACTAGACAGGTTCATGCTTGAGCACTAGGAATATCTGCTCCTGGATTTTTTTTTTTTTGGGGGGGGGTGTACCAATGATTGAACTCAGAAGCGCTCAACCACTGAGCCACACCCCCCAACCCTATTTTGTATTCTATTTAGAGATGGGGTCTCACTAGGTTGCTTATTAGCACCTCACTAAGTTGCTGAGGCTGGCTGGCTTTGACTTGCAGTCCTCTTGCCTCAGCCTCCTGAGCTGCTGGAATTACAGGCAAGTACCACAGCGCCCGGCCTTACTCCTATGTTTTTAATTGATGGGATCCAGTAAAATATCTCTGCTCACTTACGCCACTTGGGTTTGCTTCCTATGATTGCGAGACAAGTGTCCTGACTTAATACAAACAAAAGTGACATTTCTCAGAGGTCATTAGATGGGAAGTGACCACTCACCTCCTCACACCCTATGCTTCATGAACTCGCTCTATCAGTCTATGGGAGTAGACAATGCCAACATTTTTTAACTTAATATTACAAAAAATGCACAGGCGCACTCTCCTCCGCGCTGCAACCACTAACCCCGCCCGCCATACCCCTGTGAACTAGGGCTGGAGAGACGGGTAAGGGGGAAGGCATGAAGGGCTAGTCTACACATACAAACCATTCTGAATTTTTTTCAAAACATAAGATTTTTACTTACTTCTGCAAATACCACAGGTGAACAGAGTTGAAAACGGGGGGAAATGGGGTTTTTCGTCAGAGCATGGGCTTTGGGTAGTGAGATGAGTAAGTTCTGCAGACCTGGCAAAGCAGGTACTATATGATGGGAGAATGTGCCAAGCACAGCCCCGAGTGCTCTCACCAACACACAAGAAGCCAACTGGGAGTGATGGCTGTGCTGACTACCTTGTGGTAATCGTCATCTACTGTGCAAACATTAAGCACCTTAAATATCTATGTTTGTCATTTATAGCACCCTAGAGCAAAGGGGGCTGAAAATATTACTCTTGAAAACTTACTTCGTAGTGTTCGTACTCCTCAAGGTCAAATGTGTTGAAATTTAAGAAGCCATACTGCATTGCCTAAAATCCAAGAGAAAGCTTTTAAGAACAAAGATGCAAATAAGGAAACAATTTCCTAATAACAAAGAGGTATCCCAGAAAAGCATTATTACATTTGGATTACTGTCCACTGAACAGTTTTCAAACAAAGTGGGGACATGCCTTTCAAATGCTTCCACTATCTGGAAATGACTCATGACAACATTTAAGGAAATTTTGTGTCTATATTTCCATTCACCAAAGATCCTATCCATGCATAGTGAAATAATCATACCTGTAGAGTAATCCTAACCAACTTATTAGCTCAACCCCACCATGGTGGAAGATTAGGACGTTGAGAGTAAAAACACAATGCTCGACCCAAAGGTCTCTTAAGTAGCTACTAAAGAGGAAAGAAACCATGGGCCGCTCCACCCCAAACAGAGCCCATACATTCCATCAACACCTTCACTTGCAAATTCTTAAAGTCTCATTAGAGACCAATGTTCCCTATACTTAAAACAGCCCAGATGTAACACGAAAATTCAAAGGAAAAAAAAAAAAAGTATTCTTTTCATAAGAAAGTTTTCTGTCCTATCCTGTGACCCTGCTGAGTCACAGCAGGAGAGGACATTAAGCAAGATTCGCAGAGCATGTTCGCCCAGCTCATTGATGGCTGAGCCACACAGGACAGGAGCTAGAATTCTTGAACACCACAGCAACCGGTTCACAAGGGATGACTCCTATAAACCCGGTCTTCAGAAATATCAATGTAAAATAAGGAGGTAGAACAACCACCAAAAAGTCCTTGTTTTATAAAACAGAGTTACAGCACTCCCTCCTCGTAATCTGCAGAACTATGTCCCCCAAGACTCCCAGTGGGTGCTTAAAATCAATGAGCCCTAAGTATGCTGTGCTTTTTCTTAAACAAATGTTCCTATGATGAAGTTTCATTTATAAATCAGGCACAATAAAAGTTTAACAATAACCCAGAATAAGATAGAGCAATTATAATATACTGTACTAAAAGTTATTTGAAATTTAGGCATTATTTATTTCTGGAATTTTCCATTTAATATTCTCAGATTGCTACTGATCATGGAAAATGAAATCAAGGGTAAGTGGTACAAGACCAAATCCACGATGAATTTTCCTTCCTTGAATTTAAGACATTTATATATTTAACGTACTTCATGATATTTGGAGATTTTCCTACAGAATGACACAGTCAAATGTGGTTTACGGGCTGCGGGGGAAGCTCAGTGGTTGGTACATACAGGGCCCTGGTTCGACCCCCAGCACAGCCCTCTCCCAATGTAGTTTACTTGCAATTCTTGTTTGTCTTTGAATTTTTCTTTTTTGGTGGTGCTAGGGATCAAACCCAGAGTTCCACATGGGCTAGGCAGGCACTCTACCACGAGGTCCTTCCCCAGTCCCTTCCTTTAAATTTTATAAGGTCATCCTACAAGCAGCACTAAAATCAAAGCACAATCACAATGATATTTCATATATACAGTAACCCTCAAAACCAGTCACACACGAAAAATGTTTAAATTGAAACTCAGACATAATAAAATAAAATAAAATAAAACAAAATAAAATAAAATAAAATAAAACCAAATATTGTGTAAAAAGGGAATCTTCGACCTAGCACAGAGCTAACTGGGCTCAGGTGCAACACAGATCAAACGAGGAACACAACGCCCAAGTCAGTAAACAACAGTGAACTGCGACGGGGTCGGTGTCAGAGTGGACGGGTCCAGGCCCTCAACCGTTCCCTTCCTTCCTCGTGAAGGGGATGTGGCTGCTACGTTAGCCATTTCTGGGCCCAGCTGGCAGGGACCACAACCAGAGCCAGAAGTTGTCATCTGCAGCTGTCGTCCCTCAACCTCCATGTCCCCTCCCCCTGGGCCAACACCTGCCTAGGCTGAGGTCCTGCGTCCCGTGAGCTGGCTCAGGGCTGGTGGCGCCTACACAAAGAGCTCCCCCTGCCCAGTCACTGGACTGAAATCCAGGATCACACCCACGTGTCACTGCCCAGTCCAGGAAAAGGAGTCCACGGTCAGACTCTGGGTTTTAGGCCAGTTAGTCTCCTTTAAAGACACAATTTCTGCCCAGATTCCCAGAAAGTCTGTTTCATTACACCAGGAAGCAAACCCCAGATCCTCCGGCCTCAGAAAAGCCGCCACAGAACTTGAACTTCAGGTGGAAGCTTCTTCTGTCTGCAGCTACTGATCCAGTGCCTGTGCTGTCCCCAGCCAATAAGCAGGCCTGAGGTGTGGTGTGACGGCCCTGCTGATTTGCACTGTGATCTGACCTTGTCCCCTGGAAGGTCACACACACACACAGGGCCTAATACACAGTTACCTGAAACAGTTTGGGCAAGTGGTTGTCTTTTGTTTGGGCTTTGGGGTGCAGAGGACTGAACCCAGGGCCTCCCACAGGCTGAGTGCATGCTCTTCCACTGAACTCCCCATCCCCGCCCTGAAAACGATTTTGATGAAGTAACAGTGATCCACTGAGTCTTACATAGTCTTTAACTAGTTGAGTAACCAAATTCCTATGCTGAACCGAAAACTGAACACCTGGAAAAACAAAATCTGTGTTTCAGTTACGGTATTACAGACGTACGTTTGTAGAGTAGTATCAGTGAGACTCAGACACATAAAACATATAAATAAAAGAGAATTTGGAACTGGTCATCTATTTACTTAATGTTTCTTTCAAATTACAAAATGCTCAAAATGAATTCTGGATCTAGGACCTAATTCCTAAACTGTCTCTTAATATCCTTTCCACCTCCTGCCCCCTGCCCTTGCTCTGTAGTTCTGGGGCTGCTGGGGATCAAACCCAGGGCCTTGCTTGTACCTGCCTGGCAAATGCTCTAATGCTGAGCTGCACCCCTGCCCTTGTACCCAATCGTGCACAGCAGCACTCAGAAAACTCTCCTGGTTTGGTGTCATTCTGATGTGAGCTGGAAAATGGAATGCCTCTGACAGGGGACACATCCTGCAAAAAATTCCAGCAGATGGATCTTTGGGGAAGAAAGCCGGGTGACACTTGGGCTGTCCTCACTTCTAGCACAGCCCTGGGAGCACTTCCAAGTCACTTACCTTCTTCACCGCGTGAAAACAGTCGAGAAGAGTAATGTAGAAATTGCAGCTTCCGTAGGCAGCATCTCTGAAATTCCCAAAGTATGGAAACACATTAATTCAGTGGACTTTCCGCAGTAAACTCACCTCAAAACAAAGCTGACCAGGATTTAAAATCAAATACGTCTGACTGTTCTAGTGACCTCTCTGGGTGGCTTTTGGTTTAAGACCTGGATTCATTCTTGAATTTAGACAAGAAACATCTATTCCTCCTCACAAAAGAACAGGGCATCTGAATATTTTTTCTTATCAAATTATTATCAGAAAAGATTGCCTTTGAATGCCAAATCACACGTGTATGTGTGTCCAAATACGCACTTGTGTCTGTGCATGTGTCTCCAAGTAGAAAGACACACTGAGAAGTCAAGGTAGTCTCTGAAAAATCGGTGAAAACTCGCAAGCACTTTGTTGCCATCATTGTGTTCAGACTTTAACGATTTAATGGAAAGCTTCTTCTGACTCTGAAGGACAATAAGGCCACAGGGACAAAGGCACCCACCCCCCTGGGTGGGAACACTCCACTCTGGAAAAGTGCTCACAACAGCTGGCAAGACAGCTCCCTCCGACCACCACACAGACACCCAGCTGTGATCTGACCACAAATCTCTTCACATCGGCTAAGACTGTACCCAGGAAAATAAGCTACCCTCCTATTTGCTTGCTTTTCAGTTACCCTGAGCTGTTAAAGGATAAAATCTTTTGAAATTAGGCAAGGTGAGAATTTGATTGTGATCATTCTAGGTAGGCCAAACACCAGGCCTGGAATAGCTCTCACCTGGGCCCCAGGTGGAACCAGGCTGCCCACAGGGCATCATTAATTGCTCACCTTGGCTGGGTTTTTACACAAATACCTGAAAAATTAAACTGAATCCCTCCCACCCCCACAACATTGGGGATTGAACCCAGGCTCTCTTTAGCACGGAGCTACATTCCAAGCCCTTTTCCTATTGAGACAGGATCTTGGCTAAGTTGCTGAGGCTGGCCTCAAACCTGTGATCTCCTGTCTCGGCCTCTAGAGTAGCTGGAATTACAGGGTACACGTGTAATTCACCCAGCCTACACATTAACTCTTAGTTCTTATCCAAACCTTAAGGGACTGTGATTGAAGCAATATTAAACTAACAGTGAGGGAGAGAAAGCACATCTTTTTCAGTTAAAATATTCTACTATTGAACGGGTTATTATTGAACGCCTCCCTGGCCTCCTCGCACCGAAGCAAGCGGCCTTCTTCAAACAGGCAGAAGAGAAGCTCTGAGCCTGGACGTGAGCCTGGCGGGCAGCTCTTGTCAACATCATCTATCAAACTCGGGAAAACAGATGCGATCCACAAAAGGGGGATTCAACACCGAATACTAGCTTTAAAAATACCAGCTTTCAAATCAGGACTAAAAACTGCAAATGACCCCCAAAACATCCAGGAATAACAGGAGACGGGGCTGGGGGTGCAGGCTGTGGTAGGGCACTCGCCTCGGCCCTGGGTCGATCCCCACAACCACACACACAAGAAGGAACAAAAGACAAACCACGGCACACGGGGCTACGGCAGCCCCCTCCACAGCCTCTCGGGGACAGACCTGTGACACCTCTGATGTCACAGGAAGCCTTTGAAAGGCCAGCCTCCAGCCTCCCAGGAGACGGACCAAGGATTCCAGATACTGAAGTTCAAGGGAAGCAAAGCTGGTGGTGACAGAAGGAACAGCCAAGGCTACTTGGGAGGTGACAGGGGCAGCAGGAGGGCGTCTTGGGGGTGGTGGCAGCCTTCTGCACCCTGTGGTAGTTCAAGACCACACAGAACTGGGCTGTGCTGAGCACTTAGGATGAGTGTTCTTAAAAGCTGTACATGGACCAAGTAGCAGCAGAGCAGAGCCCAAGCCCCATCTGCCTGATGTCCCCAGGAGAGCTCCGGACAGACAGCCTCCTACACATCTCTCCAGAACAGAAGGCGGAGCCCAAGAAGAGAAAGGAAACCCCGGCCCGTGGCTCAGTGGTAGAGCACTTGCCAACGGGGTGCCAGCACAGGCCCTGGGTGCCAGCCCCGCCACACACACGCCAG